TACCAAAGAGTCTTACGCTCATTAAACTTTTCAGAGTGTCAAGGACAATGGTAACAAAGTAAATGCTAGCCTAAATGCTAGCCTCCCAGTCTTTGGGAGTTTAACAGTAGTAACTGAAAATTTCAAGAGGAAGAGAATATTTTCTGACTTGAAGTTTCATTTACATTTTCTAGATTAGTGATTGATTTCTTTTTTAACAAGATTCTAACTTGGGAATTGTGTAGGATGAAGTCCTATTATGGCCTGCCAACATCATTTTTTTTGTTTTGTTTTGTTTAATTGGGTGAATCCCACTCTCTTAATCCTAACTCTCCTTCTGGAGTCCATTTTCAATTAACTGTGACATGCTATTACTGGACATATGATATATTTTTTTTTTTACCTTGTTGTGTTATAATTGCATTAGCTACTTCAAAATAATTTTTTAAAAGATTTTGTGATCTAAATTATTGGCAGTATTAAAGAACATAGTTTTAAAAGCAAAAAGAGTATACAGAATTTCACAAATACTGATTCCTGCTTGTTATAGAAAATAGTGCTGTCTTTTCTTCTCCTTATACCTTATTTTTTATTTTTTTTTATTTTAAAGATTTTATTTATTTATTTGACAGAGACACAGTGAGAGAGGGAACTCAAGCGGGGGAGTGGGAGAGGGAGAAGCAGGCTTCCCGCTGAGCAGAGAGTCCTATGTGGGGCTCCATCCCAGGACCCTGGGATCATGACCTGAGCCGAAGGAAGATGCTTAACGACTGAGCCACCCAGGCGCCCCACCTTAAACCTGATATTTTAAAATAAATTTTTTTTTTTTTTTAAAGATTTTATTTATTTGACAGAGAGAGACACAGCGAGAGAGGGAACACAAGCAGGGGGAGTGGGAGAGGGAGAAGCAGGCTTCCCGCCGAGCTGGGGAGCCCGATGCGGGGCTCGATCCCAGGACCCTGGGACCATGATCTGAGCCGAAGGCAGACGCTTAACGACTGAGCCACCCAGGCGCCCCTTAAAATAAATTTTTAAAATTAAATCCTAAGAATACAAAAGGGCAGATAAGCAAATCTGATTTACTCTGATTTATACTGAAGAATACTGAGTCCATTAGCTGTAATTCATGTGTAGTCTCAAGTAATAGCTAAGAAAAGGTTTGTCATGAACTTCAGCTTTCTTATGTTTGAATTTTTAAAAAATTATTTCAGCATATATAAGCATCAACTCGATAATAGCATAAATGTGCTTTTTTTTTTATGAATGTGCTTTTTAAACTTGTCCAGTTATATCTTACAATCAGCGAAAGCAAGTAGACAAAATAGAACATGCAGTCTTCTGTGTTCAGCTGTTTCAGAACTGGTTTAAATGGAAAAATCGCTTTAAAGGTTTGGCTTTCTTAAGAAAGCCCTCTATATTGAAGCAGTGTGCAACTGAGGTCCTCTAGTGTCACAGCTGAATACGGCATCAGTTTTTAAGATTTTATAAATTGTGTGTGTTTATGTCAGAGAAAGAGAACAAGGACAAGAGAGATTACTACTGTAAACTTGACTCATAGAGCCAAATGAGCTTAGAAAACTAGGTTCTTAACGTTTTATTTGTTAGTCAATCTCAAGCAAAGTTTTTTTCTTTTGTTTTTAAAAGGAGAGACATTTGCCTTCTTTCATATGCACATATTTATCAATGTTACTATAGTTGTTTTAAAGTTTGGGATCTTTTTCTTTCCATAGTTGGTTTATTTTTTGAGGATGTTTATGAAAACTCCATTAATTTAAAATTGTTTTTGTTTCACACATTCCCCATTTGCTTTAGAGTGACTGTTGTGGCTCTCTAATAGGGGGGAAACTATTTGATAAAGAGAAATAGTTTAAATAAGCATTCCTTATAAATAGTAACTTTTATTTTTTCTTTTTTACATACTTCATGGAGAATACCAATTTATTTTAAAATATGGCTGACAACCAGGGATTATCTGACATTTGAGGAAAAAAAAAATCAGAGAGAAAGAGAGCCAAGGGAGGAAAACAAAAAAACAAAAAAACTTAACCCAGAGGAAATGAAGATAACATCTCCCCCCCCTTCGAATTAGTAGAATTATAGTAACTACCCCAGAGAGACTCAAAAGAATAATGTATCCATACCAGAGAATAGGATCTATTGAAAAGGAACAACTACAGAATAGAACAAAGAGTCTAGAAATCAAATAATAGAAGAGGGAGGACTAAATGCCATGTTCCTAGGAAATAAAACAGAAACTTGGAGAATGGATCTTATTTTTACCTGCCCACTAAGAATTCTAACTAAAAGATACAGTAGAGGGAGAAAACAGTCAAAGACCTAACAAATCAACTTTTCCTTGTTAATTCTTCTGCTAATAGAACATGTGAGTCTTCAGATTAAAAGGGCACACTTATTGCTTACTAACATAAACGCACAAATGCCTACACTCTGGACACACTGGACTAAAATTTTACAAGTCTAAGAATAAAGTGAAAAAGAATCCCAAGTTTCCAGAGAGGAATAACAAGCTACCTACAACAAAATTATATTGATACTGGACTTCTTACCATTAATAAAGAACACTTGAAGACAATGGAGAAATCTTTTTCCAAGTTTAAAGATAAGAATAAAACATTTTAAGATCTGTCATGCTTTAAAATTGTCCTACTCATGTCACACTTATGAAAAATTTTCTCATGGATGTATTCTAGCTAAATAAAAATACAAATACAAAATGAATAATAGGAGATATAAAAAATGATGGTAGCTCATGATAACTTTCATTAATAGTTATAAAATTATAGGTATCTATGAAATCCTGGTGACTGAGATATTTCTGCTTGAGAACTGGGGGTTAAGTGGCTTAGGTATATATATTTTTCTTAGTTATACAGTGACTATTTACTAATCATAGTATGGCAATGTGACAATCACTTCCCGTCTGTCTCAGAATGAAAGCCGAAGTCTTTACCATGGCCTAAATGGCCTACATGATCAGGCTCCTTGTTATGTCTCTGACCTCATCTCTTAACACCTTACTCTTGGCTCATTCTACTGCATGCACAGTGGCTTCATTGCACTTTTTGAACTGCTGTGCAGTCTCCCAGTTCAGGACTTGCTTACTGTGCCCTCTGCCTGAATCACCTATTTCCCAGAGAGCTGCATGTCTTTTTCACTTCTTTTAGATTTCTGCACAAATGTCACCTTAGTGAGGGCTTCCTTGATCACACTCTATATGTATTAGCATCCTGCTACCCCAAATTCTCTCTTCCCTACTTTTTTCTCGTTAGCACTTAATCACCATGTCATATTATGTATTTGCTTGTTTATTCATTTAGCCTTCAAGAAAGAAATGTAGATTTCTTTTATTTCACTTATGAAATTGGATAATGTAAAAATAATATAACTAATAAAAATCAGGAGTTGGGAAAGGAAAATGGGAAAGTTGTAAAAGTATGTTAATTATATCATCTTGCATAGCGAAGAAGACTTAATTATATTAACTAAAAGTCTAACCACCAGAAGAATTGAAAACAGAAACTGCTGAGGGTGGATACCTCTGGAAAGTCAGACTAGAATGAGATGAGAGGGATTTTCACTTTTCATGTCTTGTTCTTTCTTATGGTTTTAATTTAGAGGAGGGAGTCGTGTTGCAAGTATTTTTTTTTTTTTGAAAATTTTATTCAGCTTACTTTTTCTAACATCACGTTTTTTGAGCTATACTTTACATATTTTAAAATATAACCTTTTTAGTGTACAGATCAGTCAGTTTGACAAACTCAGTAGTGTCATCATCATCAAAATCAGGATAACAGTTCCATCAAGTAAAATTTCCACATACTCTTTGTAGTCAACCCATCCCTCCAAGCAAGCCCATGATAATCAGTAACCTGTTATTCCATCCTTTTAATTTACATCTTTTATTTAATATGGGTTGCTTATAGCCTGAATATAATTGATTCTTAATTCCTATCCAATCTGCCAATTCTTAGCTTTGACTTGGTGAGTTTAGATGTTTACATTTACATTTAATATAATGATTGATACATCCTGATTAAAATCTATTATTTCTAATTGTTCCATTTGTTCTCTGTGCTTTTTTTCCTTTTATTATGCCAGCTTTGGGGTTGACTATTTTTTTTTTATAATTCCATTTTATCTCTACTGTTGGCTTATTTATATCTTTTTTAAAAAATTACTTTTAGTGATTGCCTGTAGATATTAATTTAATTTTTTCAAAAGTCTAATTCAAGATGGCAAAAAAAAATGGGTAGAAAAGAAATCTATACCAAAATGTTAATATTGATAGTTTGAGAGATTTGGTTTGAATTAGTCTTTCCTACTTTTCTGTATCTCATTCCTGACTTCCCACATGAATGGTGCTTGATTAAAAAAAAAAAAAAAAAGGAAAGAGATGGAGAGAGAGAGAGAGAAACTGGGCATCAGGGTGGAAGATGGCTTAGAAAGAATTAAAGAGAAATGTTTGATAAATCGTAAATTGCTGGAGGTTGTTTTGTGGATTGATATGGAAAGTAACCTCATGTATATCTACCATAGAACATATTTTAGCCATTTTTCAGGGACTTAGGCATTTTGTCTTGAGCAGGAACAGTGGTTTTCCTTGACTTAGTTCTGAAACTAAGTCAAGGAAACTATATCTGAAACTAAGTCAAGGAAACTATATCTGAAACTTTTCTGGTAATTTGGCAAAGCCAAACCTGCAGAAGGTTAATTGCACACCACCAAAATTCAACTCCCTCCCTGGAAAAACAAATACTGCTCTTAGAGTAGCCTTAGGAAACTGTAGGATCTTTGCCAGATCAATTCTGTTGTAATCAGAAAATCCAAAATATGTATATAGTGGATATTTTATAAATTGTATAGATTGTATTTTCTTTGAATACAAGAGGAATAATAAAAATATAATTTAATTTTTATAACCTCATTTCATTCTTTAAAACAGATTCTGTATCTGCTTTGTAATTGATCTATTGATCTGTGACTTTTTGTCTTCTTCGTAGCTATTCAAAGGTTTTGTGCATTGCATTTGAGGTACTCCAAGGTTTGCAGTATATGAACAAACATGGTATAGTACACCGAGCACTGTCTCCTCATAATATTCTTTTGGACCGAAAGGTAATTGCCAAATAATACATTAAATATTTGTTTGTTGTTTGTGGTTGGAAGCTACTGAAATCAAACCCGCTCAGAGGGACTATAGAGTACAAATATATTTTAATAATATTCATAATGAAATGGCTCTATGAAAGTGATATCTTTTTGGTGGTTAGAAAAAAAACAGCTATCTGTAAATAATAAAAATCCATGTGTTTTTCACATGCATTATTCTTTTTTTCCCAAGATTCATTTTCTAACTTCATGTTGGGTTTTTCCTTTCATTTGCTTTCTGAAAAATAGGTATGGTAGCTTCCCAGTCCATTCCTCTTCTGAATTTGCTTTCATTTTAAGAAAGCTGCTCTATTTACATGGTGTATTTTGTCATAACACAGCTGCACTGTATTTTCTCCTCTTTATTTTTCTTCTTCCCTATTTTTTCTTTTTTTTCTCCATTTATCTTCTTTATTTACCAGTTGTTCATACCTACTTATTTTCTTATTGGAATGCCACTTCTCCACTTGGAAATCTTGTGGGGGATTAATAAGAAGCAGGTTAACTCCTATAGGAAAATTATGGTAGCAAGATGGTATGTTTTCAGGAATAATAATACTTTCATTTTTTTCATAAGCATATAAAAAATAGTTTTGAGAGAATTTTTTCTGGGGAATTATTTTTTATGTTAGTAGGATTATTCTTTCCCCTGATTCTCTCCCAGACTTTTACTACTATTACCCTATGATATTAAAAATCATAAAAGCTAAAGTGGTACTCATTAATTTCATTTTTATAGCAGTGGAGTATCTAATCAATCTGAGTTGCTTTAATATATAAACGTTTTATAGTGCTGGGAAATAAAGTTCTTGAGAACAAGAAAACAAATCTTAAAATCAACTTTATTTTTTTAAAGTCTTAAATATCTAAAAGGAGGAAAACTTAAGAGATTTATAAAATTTATATTTGCTTTTTATTAAGAACCTCACTTTTGTGATAATTATGGCTTTCTCAAACAATATAAAAATTGTTAGAATTCTAGCAGATTCACTAATATCTTGATTTGTGACCTGATCTTTTCAAGTTAAGAACTCCCATGTCAGGGTTAAATTATAATATTATGAATGGACTTGCAAGTCCTTGAAAAAAAAGTTCTTTTATTAAAATTACCAAAAAATGTTCTAAGCAGGGATTTTTTTTTTTTTTTTTTTAGATTTATTTATCTATTTGACAGAGAGAGAGACAGCAAGAGAGGGAACACAAGTAGGGGGAGTGGGAGAGGTAGAAGCAGACTTCCAGCAGAGCAGGGAGCCCCATGCAGGGTTTGATCCCAGGACCCTAGGGACCCTGGGATCATGACCTGAGCCGAAGGCAGACACTTAATGACTGAGCCACTCAGGCGCCCCCTAAGCAGGGATTAAAGACAAACGAGAACATTTCAGCTGTTTTTGTTTTGTCAAAATACCTGGAAAATATAAACAAAAATTTTTAAGTGTTATTTGTTGTTTTGAGACCTATATATAAATAATATATATATGTGTGTATATACATACATACATACACATATACATATACTTATATTTGTAATGAGTATAAAGCAGGTTTCAAACATTGGCAAATAGTTTTTAATAAAATTATGGTAAACTAAAATTATGGTAAATTAATTTTTTTTCTTAAATATATCTGACTATCTGATGATTTCCTTACTTATGAAATGTATACTGATACTTTTTCCTGCTACTAATATTAAAACATTTAATAGTGATTTTTATTATTATTGTAGGGACATGTTAAATTGGCTAAATTTGGACTTTATCACATGACAGCTCATGGTGATGATGTTGATTTCCCAATTGGGTAAGAATATGTTTTCTTTTTTTCTGAGTTGTGTCTTAAAATTTGTAATATTTGATAAAAAGTATATTTCATTAATTATTAGTGATATTACTTTCTGACACAAAACTAGCTTTTTTTATTAACATATTTTAATTTTCCATATACTTTTAAAAGAGTAGACAGTGAGTTTTTCTCAGTGTCCAAAAGATATCTAATGTTGATATTTCATTGAATTGGCAGAGAGGCTAACAGATTATTGACCTTCTTCACCTTATAATGCTTACTAATTAATTTCATTTCATCCTGTATTAGGTAAATTTTAGGCAAGAAGGCTGGCCAGATTCTTACAGTGATAATGTGTGTTCCTTAAAAGACTGAGGAAAAGCATCCTCATAGTATTTTCTACTATTTCTAAATTAAATTCCTTGTTCCATAAGATATAGTTGTATGTTAAGACTCAAGTTAAGTCATTGGAAGTATCAGAGGTAATGGGGTAGAGTCTACACCTGAAAGTCTATGTTTAAGTTTGGAGACATTTATTTGATCACTTCTGCTATGGAATTCCAGTTTATGTTGGCCTCCAAGATAAGGAAGTTTATTTTATTCTGTTCTTAGCCAGATGCTTTTGATACAGATTTTTGTGTTATTTATTTATTTAGACATTTTAATAATATAATTCTTTTATTTTTTGAGTGTTTAATTTTGGCATTATTTTCAGTATATAGAAGTTTCAACATAGTAGAAGAATCCCTGTGTAGCCTTCACTTGATTCCCCAAATGTCAACATTTCACTACATTTGCTTTATTTCTTTTTTCTTACACATATAGGTGTATGTGTATATTAATTTTTTTTTAGTCATTTAAGAGTAATTAATGCATATGATGCCCTTTTACCCCTAAATACTTCAGTTTGTATTTCATAAAGTAAGGAATTTTCTTATATAACCACAAAACAAATATCAAAACAAGGAAATTAAAATTAATGTAATACTGTTTATCTAATCTAGAGACCTTAATCATATTGTTCAATTGCTTTGTGATTTTTTTTAATAGTATCCATTTGTGTGTCTTGCACTTTGGGCTCTCTGAAATCAGTTCTGTCACTCCATTACCAAGAATTGTGGTTTGAAGTCATGGAAAGTGTTTCTGCAGGAGAACATTGCTTAATTAGATGTTTCTAAAAAGGGACTCATTTATAAATTACCCTTTTATCTTTATAAGATAGATTATAGGTTTCTTACCTAAAATTTTTGTTAGGCCATCACTAATAATCTTAAAATAAAGTGCTTAGTCATTCCTTCCTTTAATTATTAAGACAATATTTATTGAGCACCTTCTCTTCTGGCTGCTGGATGTGCAAAAATGGATAAGATAGATTCCTGTCCTCAAGAAGCTCCTTGTTTAATGGGAAAATTTTCTCTTTTGATGGTCTACTTATTAAAGTACATAAATTAATAATCTTAGTTTCACATACCAAAACTTGTGGTCATAGGAAACAATTGTTTTCCAAGCATGAAAACAACATTTTGTAAAAATAGCTTACATTTTATTTGTTAAAAAAAAAAACAAAACCCTTTTGAGTATAATAAAAATAAGTTCACAGTAAAGCTCTAGTGTCTTCTTACATATGTGATAATTGCTTTTTGAAGTAACTTTTAGGGAGCAGTGGTCAGACAGGAAGTAAATGTGATTGCTAATTCTTCTTTATGTTGTCTAAATCAAGCTCTATGAGAAAGAACTCCAAAAACATAATGCAAACAAAAATTACATTAATTTTTTTGCCTTTACTTAAAGATGCTTTAGGTTTACTAGTGATGAATGGAAGAAAGGAAGTGATTTTTCATAAAGCATATCAAGTATTTTGAAGAACTACATTTGAATTTAAAATGCTTAGATAGAATTGGTCTTGTGTGCCATTTGGTCTGGTTTACTTTGAAGTCTTGGACCCAAAGGGTCTGACCAGAAAGTATCAAAGAGCAAAATGTGAAACATTACCCAGGAAAAATAAAGTGATCAAACAGCTAAGGCATGAAAGAAAATATTTACACCAGAAGAAGCTTGCAGTTGATTCAAAAGACAAATATTAAGGAACAACAAAGTAAAATGTTAACATCTGTTACAAAATATTGTAAAGAGTTAGAAATTGGACATTCATTTCAGTTGGCCAGTAGCTTAATACCTTGTTAAAAGATCAAACAGGTGATGAAAGCCTCACCAGTCATACAGCAAAGTTCTGGTAATTTTCTTTGAGTGATAAAATGCCATGCTAAAGAAGAGACACTTGTTGAAAAGAGATAATCTACATTTAAAAACAATCTAGCATTATTTTTATTAATTAGTTTAATCAATTCTTGATTAAAAGGGAAATCAGAATTTTTGGAGCAAGGGTCACCTCTATGCTTCTAGAGATCACCAGTCAGAAATCTTAGCTACAACGATTTACCTATAATATAGCTTGGCCTTTCACTACCCACACCATTATTTTTGGATAAGATGTGCTGGAAATCAGGATTAAAAATAAACAATTTGCCTTTTAGATGAATCATGGTGATGATGAATAAAAATACAACATAGCATTTATGTCATATTTTTCCATTTTTATAAAAACAGTACTCACTAATATTTATAACAGTTTTGTGAGGTAAACATTATTCCTATTTTCAGATTAAGAAACCCTGATCACATATGGAATATGTGCTGGATTGAAACTAGAATATAGGTATTATAATATCCAGTCCATCCTTTTTCCACTAGCCTTCAGTTGAATCCAGAGATGTCATTTAGAAGAGCAATGTGATCAGTTTAGGGTAAAATGATATAATACAAATTTGTATATGACAGAAATATATGAGCAAATTAAAAGTAGATATTAGTGGAGGAGGAGCAAGATGGCAGAGGAGTAGGAGACCTAAATTTCGTCTGGTCCCAGGAATTCAGCTAGATAGTTACCATTCTGAACACCTACAAACTCAACGGAAGATGGAAGAAAAGAATAACAGCAACTCTGTGAACAGAAGAGTGACCACTTTCTGGAAGGTAGGACGTGTAGAGAAGTGAATCCGGTGCGCTGTTTGGGAAAATAGACCGCAGGGGGAGGGAGCCTCCATCAGCCACTACCAGCAAGTGATAGAGCAGCAGAGCACAAAATCGGAACTTTTAGAAGTCTGCTCCGCTGAGGGATGTTGCTCCAGTGGCTAAGCGTAGGGTGGAACCCTCTCTGGGACAGTGTGGTCTCAGGACCCTCAGGGCCACAGAAAGACCAGGGTTGGCAGAGCTCCCAGGTATCAGAGTGGGGAAGCTGGCTGCAAAGACGGAGCTGAGGAGTGGGCTCTGAGCTCGGGGTTGCCATTAACCATGATCCGCAGCACAGTCGGGCCACTGCTCTTCCAGCAGGGACCCAACAAGTGGCAGATCCAGGCAGACTCCCCTTCTTCCCCTGGGAGGAGCGGCGCGGGAGTACACTGCAGGGATCTGCTGGGTTTGGAGACTCCAAACAGGGTCATGTGCCAGAGATAAAAACGCTTGGCCACAGGCCGGGTGAACACGGAGTGCGGCTGAAGACGAGAGAGGGGAGTGATTGACTGCTTTTCTTTGGGGGCACACTGAGGAGTGGGGCCCCAAGTTCTCAGCTCGTCCAGGACCAGAGATTCGGAGGCCGCCATTTTCACTCTCATCCTCCAAAGCTGTACAGAAAACTTTCAGGGAACAAAAGCTCCCAAGAGCAAACCCGAGCAGATTATTTAGCCTGGTCCCCGGCAAGGGCGGGACAATTCCGCCTCAGGCAAAGACATTTGAGAATCACTGCAATAGGCCCCTCCCCCAGAAGATCAGCAAGAACAGCCAGCCAAGACCAAATTTACCGATCAATGAGAACAGCAAAACCCAGCACTAGGGAAATACAGCACATAGAATTTGTGGCTTTTTTCCCATGATGCTTAAATCTTTCAAAGTTAATTTTTTAAATTTTCTTTTTCTATTTTTTTAGTTGAATTTTTCTTCTTTCCTTTTTCAACCAATATCTTTTCAATTCCTTTTTTAAAATCTTTTTTAATTTTTCATTTTTACATTCATACCCTATCTCTTCATTGTATTTAACCTTACTGTTTATATATATGTAAGTTTTTCTTTCTTTAAAATTTTGGGATAGTTTCTTCTAACAGACCAAAATATACCCTAAATCTAGTGTATGATGTTTTCCTAGTCTCCTGCGTGATCACATTACCTCTTTTTTTAAAAAATATTTTTTCATTCTTTTTTCAGCCAACTTCTAATTAATTCCTTTTTTAAAATTCTTTTTAGTTTTCATCTGTCCAGTCATATTCCATCCCTTTATCATATTTACCCTTATTTTAGTATATATGTAAGTTTATCTTTCCTTAAAATTTTGGGAGGCAATTTCTTCTAACAGAACAAAATACACCCAAAATCTATTTATGTGGTTCTGTTATTTTCACCAGGCTGATCATATTCTTTTTTTTTCTGCTTTACTTTTCCCCCCAGTTTCGGGTCTCTTCTGATTTCTTTAGTGTATATTTTTCCGGGGTTGTTGTTACCTTTTTAGCATTTTTTTTAGCATTTTGTTCTCTCATTCATCTGTTCTCCTCTGGACAAAATGAAAAGATAGAAAAACTCACCTCAAAAAAGAGAACAAGAGGCAGTACCAACTGCCACGGACCTAATCACTACAGACATTAGTAAGATGTTGGAACTAGAGTTCAGAATGACGATTATAAAGATACTAGCTGGGCTTGAAAAAAGCATAGAAGATAATAGAGAATCCCTTTCTGGAGAAATAAAAGAACTAAAATCTAACCAAATAGAAATCAAAAAGGCTATTAATGAGGTGCAATCAAAAATGGAGGCTCTAACTGCTAGAATAAATGAGGCAGAAGAGAGAATTAGTGATATAGAAGACCAAATGATGTTGAATAAAGAAGCTGAGAAAAAGAGAGATAAACAACTACTGGATCATGAGGGCAGAATTTGAGAGATAAGCAATACCATAAGATGAAACAACATTA